CCTTGGAATCACTTTTTTACAGTTCAGTTCGATCGCACAGCCAAATACGCCTTGCAGGCTATATTAATCCCTTCCTTTAAAACGTTTTCAAAAATCACGTAAGCAGCAGGCCAACGTGGTGTAAGGTTGGCTTTGCATTTTTTGAACCCTCTTTTATCCGTTCATTTCAAACCAGTTTCGTTTAATGACTATTTTGGCCTCTTATATGGTAAATTTCAAAAATTCACGTACAGTATAAAGGATTCGAGAGCTGACCTACCAACCCTTTTGCCCCAACCTGCCAGGTCGCTAATTGTAATTGTTGCACATGAGAATTCATTTCTCGGGCTTGGCAAAGCATAATTTTTAGAGCAAAATTTGATTCCTGTTTTTCAAATTAGTTGCTTAAAGAAGTGAAATCGCATGTGCAACAATTGAGGTTAGGAACCTGGTGGGGTGGCCTGTGATACCTGGTCTCTAATCCCTTATGCTGTCAACTTAGAATGTCCCATATAAGAGGCCAAAATAGTTAGTACGACAGAAACGTTTACAAAGAATGGGTGCAATAGTCTTTAAAAATGCACCTACCGGGAGTCTTGTAGTTTTCATGTAGAGTATTTTAATGTGACACCTTGTTGACATCCCGGTTACGTGATTTTGACGTTCTAAAGGAGAGAGGCCTGGCCGGGGGTTTTGGGTTTTCAGGTATCCGGGCTCAATTTTGTTCAGGTTTACGGAATTTTAGTTCCACGATAAGGATATAAATTATCTTTTTTTCTAAATTTTTGATATTAAGACACAATTTTTTTTATGTAAATGAACGTTGTCACAGAGATCGAAATATGCTGACCAAAAGTTCGCATGGGCTGGCAAAAGAGGGAATCTGCCGGATTAGACTCGCATGACCAAACTGCAGTCAAGCGAAAGTTAGCAGTTTATCTGGGTGTGTCTCATAATCCCGATTTCTTCCAAATTGCACCAATATTGCTTGCCAGTTGAAGTAGCTTTCAGTGTGTCAAAATATCCCAGAATATCCAAGAAAAACTAAGAAGTGCCACTGTCAATTTGCAGCTGCGTCCCAAACTTTTTATTGATGAAGCTTAATGCTACAAAGTGTAAAGAACCACGGGTGTGTTTCGTAAAGCGACCCTCAGCTACCCCCTTTACGAATTGATCAACAAGTACTCAAAACAGTTTGTTCGCACAAGGTTCTAGACAGGGGAGCGGGGGGGGGGGGAAGGAGTCTCCAAGGAAATCGGTGCAGTGGACCTTGCGGCTATCTGCGTCGCTCCTTTACGTTCTGTCCTAGAGTACAATGTTACGTGGCTTGATATAACGCCCTTCCTGCCCATCTGCTTAGTACAATAGAGCGGGTCCAAATGCGAGCTTTAAGGATAATATACCTTCGGAAGCTTGACAATTTGCTAGAGTCGTTAGAGTTGAGGACCGGCGCAGTGGGCTCTGTATGAGCAATAAAAACAAAGGCAGGACCTTGTCAACCTGTGATTAAAGGTCATTTATCTATTTATTTTATTTGTATATTTATTTAATATTCACAGTATTCTTCAGTCGATTTACCAAGATCTTTTACTTAAATTGGTCTCTCAGAACACATAGCCTGCGTAGCAGGCGCTTGGAAGTAGTGGGCGCGACAAAGAACGGGCGCGCGCGAAGGAGACACGCGGAGACACCCGTTCTTTCTTGCACCCACTACTTCCAAGCGCCTGCTACGCAGGCTAAGAACACTAGAAATGGCGTTTCTGGGGGAGCATGCCGCCTTACCCCGCCCGTAGCGGCTCGCTCCTTGTCCTTGGACGCTAATACTAGTTTTTTTGATAAATAAAAAAGGTTGTACGGTCTGTCTCAGTCCTGATATACTTATTTAGGTATACAGTATTCTTTTTCAAGGTAATTTCAGGCATTCGGTATCAAACGTTTTACAAATCTTTAGCTATATTGGTATCTTATGAGAACAAAAGCGGGTATCAGTGGTATCCCAATGTCCCCCACCCTCACCCCGTCTATGCGGGCCGGGCCCGAAAATATGGAAGGGCGGAGTCCATGCCGTGAAAATAATGATTCATTACCAATACAAATTCCTCGGTGTGATACGCTTTTTGTGCAGTTTAAGGAGGAAAAACTCATTCAATTAGGGCATTTTTTTTCTGGAGAGAAACAGAAATCTCGTTCATCACAAAGATTTTGGCCGCCGACGGGTTACGTAGCCACGTGACCATAACATTACGTGACAAATCACGCTATGATTTGATTTTGAAAATTAACGAAACTGCATAACTTCAGCTGGCTGGATAGACTTCTTCTATCAAGAATCTAAAGTAAAGGTAAGCGTCTTATTTACCGGGAACAGATAAAACGGTAAATGACTAATTGTTTTTGTTGTGCCTCAAACGTTTTTAAACATCCTGATTATTACATAGAGAATACTTCATGGAAAGTGCTGGCGTACGGTATTTACGCACGAGTTGTTGACGTATCAGAAATCGAACGAGTGAGCGCAGCGAACGAGTAAGATTTCTGATACAAAAACAACGAGTGCGTAAATACCGTACAAAGCACTTTCCATGTGGTATTGTGTTTATTATATACATACTGAGTCATTCATCATTTTGCGGGCCTTTTTATTTTAAATCTTTCAAAAATGCTAAAATTTGCCGCTACACACTTACCGCAAAATGACAACGAAAACGAAGTATCAGCTTTTTAGTAAAAACGTTTGTTAAAAACATAAATGACGGTGAGGATATGAGGTTTAATCCAAGAACTATAAGTAATCTTAACTGTTTGTTCTCAATGCACAATTGAAAATGAGTGAATTTAAGTAAAATGGCCGTTTTCAATATAAGCTTAAGCTTAAATGAAAGGCAAAGTAGCTCCGACAAAAAGCACAACAAAAGCTTACGTCTCGTCCTGTTTATCCCTTTCCGCTGTTGTTTCGCCGGCTCTCTACCGTATTTTTTTATCGACAGTGAAACAAACGAAACTATTCCACTCCATTTCCGAAATGTTTTTCACCTTTTTAGCGAGAAAAACTCCTTGAGTAAAACTTTTCTCGTTGATAAATGTGTGCGAAGCGGCGCTGCAAGCTGCAATAAAAGGCGGGAATTTTGGCGCGAAACTCGCACACCTCTGTGGCTTCTGATTGGACGTATCATTTTTCTCACACGTGAAAAAACATCGTTCGCGATTCTGATTGGACGTATCATTTTTTTCACGTGTGAAAACCATCGTTCGCTCCTCTGATTGGCTATAACTAATTTGCGTACGAAAATTTACGACATAGCTTTTTGGTGAGTATTTCTCAGTATGTATATAATAAAATAATTTATGCACCGCGGTGAAATTCACTCTAAAATTGCGGAAAGAACTTAAAATTCGACGTTGCCTTTCTTGTACATGTTTTGTATCCCGGGGTAGTGATATATATTTTCATTACTTAGAGAGCTTGGATCAACTTCTGATGTAGAGAATTTTATTAAAAACATTGTTTACTGTTCAGTTACAAGACGACGGCGCCCGCCAGTTGATTGTGGTAATCAGTAACATGCATGATAATCCCTGTTATGATATCCCTTTCGATTCAAAAGTACTTAGAGAAGCTTAATTACTTTCTCTTTCTCGAATTCAATTGTCAAAAGAGGCAATTTCATGGAACTTTTAATCCGTACAATCATGACATCCGACACGGCCAGTAAAGTTATGCAAATACGCAAAATGGCAGATTATAATCTACTGTTGGTTGCAATCCCAGAAGATACCCACAAGTCTGAGCCTATAAACCAAAAAAATAAGCTTAAAACTTTACTTTGATATGATTTTTAAACCAGATTTAGGCCGCAACTTTTGAGATATTTTCCCTCAAATCTTCCTTACTTTCAGGGTTTGGATTAAGCCTGCAAAATAGGTATTCTTTGAACCACTGTAACTTGAACATGTTTTGATCAAAGATATTTTTATTTAGCCTGTGAACTATCGAAGGTTAACTAAAAAAACTGAATCGAACAGATTTTTTGTGCGGGCATTCGTTTGTTTGCAACGCGCTTTTCAAAATCCATCAATTTTAGTCTTTGAAACACTCTCTGAGAAGCCGAGACGGACTCAATTCGTTTTTGGCTTGTAGCAGAGCTAAGAATAAGAATTTGAAAACAAAAATAGCGAATTTAGTATATACCTACTAAAGCCTCTTCACCGACAAAAAATAAAGGAAAAGTATTTTTTGTCGCGAAATCGAGTTGACCGCTTTTAGGGAGACTGCCTCTTAATTAGGTAAAAGCCGCTATTTTCGTTTTTCCTCATTTTCTCGAAAACTATAGATTCTTGGAAGTTGAAAAAATTTTTTTCGAAGATAGTTCTCCAAACGGGTTTTTCTGACAAATAAACAGAATTTTCGATTTTTTTTAGCCTGGCCAGCGATTCTCGATATTTATGGGCTCTTAAGATTCATCATTTGAAGCAGCCATCTGGGGCGTTGCGTGTTGTCTTCTCGGGATAGCCTGGCACTCTGGTAGTTGTGGGCAAATTATGGGTACAGAAATTTCTGGGTCAATTCGTCGAGATGAATCGTTCCATTTGAATTCTTCCCAGAAAACCAGATTTTTCCATACAAATGGTTAGCGCTCCAGCACTACCTTTTCAGATATTCCGTTTAATGTTTCGGGGAAAAACGTGCAACGAACCGAAAGGTCGAGTGTTCCATTAACTCTCCAACAGTGTTTTCCAGGAACTTTCTGTAGGTTGTAAACAACTTCCTTTACTATAAATGCAGAAAAAACAATTCCCAGTGGTAGTTTGAACTAGAAATGCAATAAAAGTTAAAAGCATAATGCATAATGGTTTCCATCAAAGATTTAATATCTGCTGCGTAAACGTTCAAGATCATTTATTTTACGTTATCACTACACATAGCATGGGAGAGGAGTTGGAGGATATATGTACTGAACAAATGCAAGTGAAGGTTCTGCTGCTAATCAGAATCCAGGATATATGTGCTGGTATGTAAGATGCTGATGCACCTCTGCAGTTAACCGATATCGTTCATGCGGTGGAAAAGACTCAAATTGATTGATGATTCTCATGAAATAATTTGGGCAAAATCCCGTTATTAAGCTTTGTTTTAACCTCAACAAACAATCAATCAATCTGTAGCTCAACTGATCAAAGCCCCATAAGAATGGATGTGGCTTGGCCTCACACTCATAGAACAATATTGTTTTCATGTGGTAAGAAGTTAATGGATACCAGTTATTAGCTTTTATTATAGTCTTCAATCTTCGCAAAACCTCATTAAGGCAAGAATATGCATTCGCAGACCACTTGAAGAGCTTCTTTTCAACTTCCGAGAAGGACAAACGCCAGCTAGATCCGTTGGCTGTTTCGTAACTGCTGGCTGCTTTGGCAACAAGGTGAAACCCACTCGCAATAAAATCTTGAATGGGCTCCAGACTGGGCCAACCTGAAAGTCATTCAAATATAAAAGAAAGATGATAAGTGTTGTTCTCTTTGCCACCTTTAACCCGAGTCGGCAGATTTGAGGGTCCTGACAAGTGCCCTGATATCAAACCTAATCAGACCGGGCTTTTTGTTTGCTTGCTGCGACCAGGGGGTGCTCCTGGAGCCCCCTCTATAACTTGAAAACGCTCATGATACGGCCACCAAAATTTTAACAGAGTAATGTACTCATTATTTCCAACATTTTGGCAAAACTTAACTGACACAATGGCGTGTTATGACGTCATTATGACGTCAGATTGTTAAATTTAGATTTTGCAATTAAATTTTGAAATTTTGCAATTAAAATTGGTGTGGTCTGGTGTGAATGGAAATATATAATGTGACTCATCCGTAAATGATCGTCAAAAATAGCAGTGATGTCATAATGACGTCATTTGTTAATAAATAAGGGTCCAAAACCATGCGCCATCTTTGATCTGCCATTTTGAACTAATTTGAACAGGTGTTCCATTTTACTTAAAACCCGTATAAATCGAGGCAGTCGTAGTTGAAAACTTGACCTGTGTACTGAATCGGCAAGCGGTGAAATTCCGTAAGATATAAACACTAATAGAAATTCAGGAACCCAACATCTCAGTGTCATACGGTCATTTTAGATTTTTTTCCCCAATCAGTCTTTAAAAAGCCTGGATTACATAACATTATAAAAAATTTGATAACATGCGGCTAAATTGAGTGTAATTCTACAATATATTAAAATAGCCTGAGAAAACAGCCGACATTTCACGATGCCACGACGGCATGTGATAAAACATGGACTGGACTGGTTGGGAAAACATGGACGAGATTGAAAGAACATGGATTAATAAAACATGCAGTGATAAAACATAGATTAAAAAGACGCTTTTAGGGACGGTACACTTCGGCGTCGTGGTTGTGGATTAATTGAGAATGCGGAGGAATAGTAAGAAATGATGTTTTTCTGGATATACCCTTCCTTAAAAATACCCTTACTTTTCTCCTTTTGTGTAACAGACTGCTAGGTGCATGACCGTGGCTGTAAATTGCGCACGACGAAATCTCAGTTCCACTTTCTGTATTTCCCCTATTATACTACTACATGAGAAATTTCTGCAATTTGATTGGCTTAGAGCAGTGGTATTTCAGCTTAATTTGAAATAGCCACATGTGAAAATTACAAACCATTTGTGGGTAGTAGTATAAACAAATAATAGCATGATTTGTACGTGACATTCTGCATAAATACCACTCGTGATATATCAAAATTGTCTCAAATTTCACTCGCCTAACGGCTCGTGGGTCACCCATCCAGTTTCTTGCCCCGCCCGACAGGGCTTAACTTGAGTACGGTTACTAAAGAACCGAATTTCGCGAGGGTTATTGCGAGATACGTATTTCTACTTTATATTGCGATGTTGTTCATGAATTATCCTGAAGTTGTGCATTTTCAGCAAGTTTTTTAGGGGAGTGTACTGATTTAATTTAGTTACGTTGCTGGAGAAAGTGTGAAGTTAACTGTACATTAAGGAAAGTGTTGTTGTAGAGGAAATACAAGAAGTGGAATTGAGATCAATCTATTTATGACAGAAATTATAATCGAATTGGGTTACACCCACGGTCATGTACCTGCGTAGCAGACTTCCTGTGAAGAAGTTAAGACATCTGTTACACAAAAGGAGAAAAGTAAGGGTATTTTTATGGAAGGGTATCTGGAAAAATATCATTTCTTACTATACCTCCGCATTCTTAATCAATCCACAACCACGACGCCGAAGTTTACTCTCCAATAAAAGCGTCTTGTTAATCTATGTTTTATCACTCCCCGTTTTATTAATCCATGTTTTATTACTCCCGTCCATGTTTTACCAATCCAGTCCAGTCCATGTTTTATGACATGCCTGCCACAACTGGTTTCCCCGCGAAATGACGTCTGAGAAATGAACGCAGAAATTGATGACTTGTCACTACTCAGATCTGGGTAGTGCTTCTGATTAGTTGAAGCAAATTTTCCACGCGGCACGACCAATCAGAAGCACTACCCAGATCTGGGTAGTGAGCATGGAATTTCTGCGCTCATTTCTCGGACGTCATTTCGCGGGGGAATGGCAAAGTCAAGTTGACGTACACGTCATGACGACTTTAAAATGTTTCTAGATAATTAAAAAAAGGCGCTAATTTTGGTGGACATAGCTTAAACGGTTTTCAAGTTATTCAAATTTTTGGCTCGGGGCGGTTGGGGGAGTTCCAAAAGACCCTGCTGTCTGAATAAGGTTAAGACTGTCGATACATGGTTTCCCGCGATGTTCTTTTTTTAAAGAAAATAGTAAGTTTTACTTATAGTTGCCCTTCATTCTTTTAAAGATATCTTTAAGTCTTCACAAGTGTCAGTAACAAGCTCTTACGATTGAAGCTACTTCGGTCACTGGGAAATGTTTACTTTTCCGTTATTTGTAAGTTTGTTGTTCTCTTTTTGTTCTTGGAATAAATTGAAGCTATCATATGATGCTAATCGAGTGATTTAGAATCACGTTAACAGCAAAAGGCGAACATCAATTTGTATCATGTGACCAAAAATGTTCAAATCAGACTTATCCATAAGAATTATTTTTCACAGCTTTTATTTACTCATTTCCTGCTTTGAGAAATTGTCCACTTGAATCTGACTCGCTTGCTGATCGCCGTAACCGTGACTCTAAATCTGTTCAACTTTCACATCTTGCTTGATCGATAGCGGGAGATTCAGCTATTTATCTCAGGTAGTATTAATTTAACATTTATTTTGCAAGACTATTGCACCATGTGAGTAAACAAAATAGTAATAACGAACCAAATCTGCTTCTCGTCGTCCATTCCAAAGCTTCAAAAGGGTAGTAGGGGAAAAGGCATTTGATAGCCAAGGTCAAATCAACTGAATACGTTCGGCAATACGTTAGGCCATTGTTTTCGGTTATTTTTAGGTTTACAGCAGGGCCCGATTTCGTCACCATTACAAATCTACAAACAAGAAATGATAAGCATTTAATGACATTCAAAATGGCTTAAAGACTGACTACATTAGGAGAGGCTGTGGCTGGGTAGGAGGAGGAAGTTTGAATTTGTTGGTACATGGAAGGTTATGTACTTAACCACCAATCGGAAATCTTTATTCTCCAGACAATTCGTTCTCCAACAGACATAATCAGTTGGTTGCAGAAAGTGTAGCGGGACGAAAGGGCAAAAAATAGCATAATTATGTTGTTCAGATGTAAAGGGAAGTAAAAAGTTGTTGCCTTTTTTTGTAAATGTGATAGTGAGGAAAAAGTTATAAATATATTAAAACTATTTCTGGAAATTTGAAATAGAGAGATTAATATGGTAAAGGGTGATATGGTCTCCAATTTCAACATTATTAATTATGATTTTGTAATAAGTTAACTTTTAAACGTTGGCCCGTGTAAGGGAGGATTTATCTTCTTATACTTTGGTGGAGAATTGAGCAGAGGGAACCTCTGACAACTTTGCCAACAGTTGGGCAAATTTGGTTGGTTTTCCCTTGTTTTTGATTTACGGCTTCCAAACATCCAGCCATGGAATTAACATTACCTTTGCTTACCTCTGATAACCCAACAAAGAAACGGCCTGCAGGACAAGCTGTCCGAACCATTCGCTTACTCTAGAAGAAATTAAATTTCCCTGAGGATCGACACAACCAACTTGCGCCCACTTTACCATCTCTCTTCCACCAACTTTGACTTGAACGTATCCTAGTGACGAAAAAAAGTATCACGAAAATATGTTGCAACATCATCAAAGACAAAATCAACAATAATAAGAATTCTTATAATTTCATTGTGACACATTCTAAAGGTCAGAACACACTGAACACACTAGGCAACAAGTTGAGCAATTCGTCGCATCGACACGTCGTTACAACAAATCGTTTTGTGGGTACTAAAAAGATTTTGTGCAAATCTTTGTCGTCGCACAAGAATTTCGTTGTACTAAGCCTACAGTATTATTATCAACGTTAAATTTTGCTTGAGACTTTGCTCCCGTTGTTCAAATGTTAAATAAGGTAACTTATTGCCCTCGCAGGGTGTCTGGGCGAAATCCCGAGGAGGCACTCTAGTAACTCGCGCGTGTATTAAGGAAAGTACTGACAGTTGAAATATACAAGCAAATTTCAACCAAATGTCCACATTTCATTTTGTGAAATTTTGAAAAACAAATAGCAGCATGTGTACGTACAGGCAGAGAGCTTTCATTTGAATGGTCACATCATAGGATTTCATCCACAGACTCAAAAGTTAGATTCATCTCACAAAACTCTATCAAGCACTCTGGCAGTGAAAGGGTTAATGATTAATGAAATAAATCGTGAATAACATTGTTCATTCTCACCGAAAAGAAAGTATATTATTGATTTGTCGATTATTTTACCGACAGACTCGTGACTTTTCTGTAGTTTTTAAAGTTTATCGCACATTTAGTCGAATGAAATACACAACACGCAAAGTTAAGGGCAGCTTGTGTAGACTGCAAAATTATGATTATTCATAGGAGAAATTTTAAGTAAAAAAGTTATCAACCTTTCTGGGTCTTTAATTTCGGCAGAAGATACAAAAAATGTGACTTACAGTAAAGGTTACTGAGTATTAGATATTTTAATAATTAAAAGGGTAGTTTAATTAACACGTAACGGTTTGTCGGTTCGATTTTGCAGAGAAAACATATTCTAAACACAAAAATCGGCCTAATTAACCATTTAGGTAGAATCCCTTTGGAGCGGAAAGATTGACCAATAAACATAAACTGTGACCTGGACGCGGCCAAAGAGTTTCGTGAATGACAACCAGCCTTTATAAAGCAATAAATTTCATGGGCTATTAGCTCTCAAAGGGGTCAGTCATGCACACGTATGGGTAAGAATTCTTATAAAGACTATTACTAACATGCACAGTGATCGGATTTGATTTAAAATTTTCTCTTTTTGCTTTAAAATCAATTAAGTATAGATTTTAATGTGATGGTAAATAACAAATATATATATTAAAGGTAAATGTATGGACGCTTCGCTTCTAGCCTTGGCTAAATTTATTTAGTATATACTAAAACAGTGGATAGTGTTTTTCGCGCGCTCCGATTGGCTACTCGATCAGTGAATATCCTGCACTATTCACTGATTCACCTCCGGTTCCTCCAAGCGAGCGATGCCAAACCCGCGTAAGTTGCGAGCAAAATGCCTTCCCGGTTTGCTGCCGTAACAAATTCAGAAATTTCACAACTAATCAAGCAAGCTATTCCCAAAATACATGAAGAAGGTGACGAAGTTCGGTTTGGAAGTTCTAACAGGTAAAGCTTTGTCTTTTGACTAGAATTTATCGACAGATAGATAGATAGATAGATAGATAGATACCTTTATTAAAGTGTCAAGACTGTAATAGCGGTGTATAACCACTAAGTGGGGACACTAAAATAAATTTAAAAAATAAATCAATTAATAAATTAATTAAAATTAAGAAAAACTATGTACAGTATAAGCAAGTGTGAAATTCGAGAGAATTATATACAATATGTACAAATGTATCCATTATCTTATAAAAAAATAAGAAATAAAAGATTAAGAAGTGCAAAGAGAGCAGTTAGAGCAGTTATTGTCAGCTAATAGCATGCTAAGATCCACTTTTCTTATGTTATATTTGAAGGAGGACAACGTGGAAGCTTTTTTCACGTTACTAGGAACAGAACTCCATACCCTTGGGCCCATATACCTGAGCGAGTGCTTTCCAAAGGAGACTGTGTTGAATCTGGGTATAGTGAAGTCATGATTGCGCAGTTCATACTTAATTGCAGGCTGTTCAAAGAGAGTGCTAATGTAGGTTGGGCACATGTTGTTTTTGATAAAACCGGTGAAAACGTTTTTTGTTTACAAATGCAAATTAAGCTTAAGTCTTGCGTTACTTCATTTAGTTGACTTGTTCATAAGTAAGCTTAAAACTAAATTTAATAATCTTTTTTACAGAATGAGTTTAAATACAAAAAGAATTCACAGCTCCTTTTGAAGAAACTTCCCCGCAAGAGCTAAACAAACGCCTTCAAAAGTTTTATTTGTCGCCAAGAAATCGAAAGAAAAAGCGACGACCGCGGCCGTTCTCGGTCACTGGGCGCCAAAATTGTAATCGTTGGCAAAAGTAAATGAGTTAAAAATCATCATTTTTGTGCTCAATTATCTCACTGTTTTAGTATATACTAAAACAATTATTCACCTCAGTGTCGGTGGCTAGAAGTGCCCGTCAAATACACACAATATTTATTTCGCTGGAAACCGTGACAGCACTTACGCCAGCTGCCTTGTAGTTTAACCTGTAGTTTAATATTTCATCTCTTCATATTCTTCGATTTCCATATTTAATGAACTGTGGGGGTGTGTTCGAGCAACTCGCTCGCAACACGAAGAGGTACCAGGAATCTGATTTACATCTTGCTTTTATTCTTCTTAATCTTCTTACAACTTCCAATTACTCAGCAACTTTCTCAGTTCTACCAACTTCTCTACTTCTACTCTACTAGTTCAAGTATAGTAGCGGTTTTAATAGCCAAGTATAAAAACGGCCATAGATGTGTCACAATCTTGACGGATAATTATGCGTCCTCTAGTATAAAAACGGCCAATGTTGGCATGGCACTCGAATTAATTTCCAAAGTTTTATTCACCTTTCGATAACTCCGATATGATTTACGCCGGGCCTTATCAAACAAACAGTTGTTGTGAAGTATTTTGAAAGCTATTTTTAAGAAGGATCTATCTTATCTTTTAAGTTTAGTTTTTGCTTCGTTAAGTCTTGTTTTTGTCCACGTACTGTTTTCCTGTTTTGATCTCTTGTTTTTACTTGTACTTGAATTTATGCTTAGCTCGCGAATTTACTTATTGCCACATTAGGAATGTTATTCGCTTGGCAGGTGGTCGTGTTTGTGGTGTTAGAGCTGACCTTGGATTCTTTGGTACTTGTCAGTTGCGGCTGTGTGTAGGCTAATAAATTCCCTAACAATAGCAAACCTGTTGCATTGT